ATTTGTATTCTAGATCCTTCTAAGTTTCTTCTGATATAATTTCTCCATTATTTCATTAACATTTTAATATTCTATCATCCTTAAGCTGACTCCTCTAAATAGCACCAGATGTATTTTATGTATTCAGAGAACACTTTTAACCAAGAGATTGAACCTTTAGTTTGACATCTCCATGTATCACAGCTGAGCTACTGGGTTTTAATTTGATCACCGTGTTCCGCGCGTTCTGTCTGCTAAATTTCCTCATTGTTTCTTGAAATGTTCAGTTTGCCCTACTTCCAGTTCTCCCTTCTATTTCTCTGGTTTTCCTGTGGCCTCTTCTTGCTCCTGTCACTCCCAAAATGAGAAATCAAGACTTCCCAGGGTGTGTTCTGTGTTTTCATTCTTTGAGATCATCTCTTCTATCCCCCGGGGCCTTAATTATTCTACATTCACTGTGAAGTCAAATCTCTATGTCTGCTTAGAACCATATGTTTTCTACGTAACATTTCTCCTTTTGAATTTTATTTAATTTTATGTATATGAATGTTTTGTCTACCCACATGTCTATGCTCTCTCTCTCTCTCTCTCTCTCTCTCTCTCTCTCTCTCTCTGTGTGTGTGTGTGTGTGTGTGTGTGTGTGTGTGTGTGTTTGGTGCCCTCAGAGGCCAGAAGAGGGCATCAGATCCCCCTGGAACTGGTATTATGGGAGTTTGTGAGCCACTCTGTGGGTGCTGGGAATTGAACCTGCGTCCTCTGCAAGAGCAGCCCTGCTCTTATCCACTGAGCCATTGCTCCAGTCCCTGTTTAACATTTCTCATTCTTGTTCTTCAACTAGAAATCAGAGATGCTACTATAGAGACATTGAAAGGATTGAGAGAATTTGTAAAATATTACGTAAGATTTAACGTTTTAAAACAAAGAAAACTCCTGCTTAATTTTAACGCCCTGCATTAAATGCCCTAAATGAGTCCCAGACTGTACTTCTGTGGAGAGTTGCACATTGCACTGTCTACAAACGTCACCCGTTCTGGTAAGTCTGGTCACGTAGACTGTGTAGGAACGGCTTAGAGAAGAATTTGTCCCATGGATAAGGAATCAGTAAAGCCCCAAAAGTGGAGTGGGATAGAGAGCCATCAAAACACTGTTTGAAGATGTTCTTTAATTGAATCTGCAGACCCGCCACCAGTGTGGCCGGTAGTGTGGCTATCACGAACTACTGACCCGTCACTCTGCCATGGGACATTGGCAGTGAAGGGTCTGGCTCCAGACTGTGTCCCAAATGAGGACGGAAGGGAAAATTGGCCCTGGTTTAATGCTCCTCGCTCAAGTGGGAAACAGTTCCAGAAGAAACTTTAGGCTGGAGTGGAAAATCTAACACCTAGAATTCACTGTGAGCTGACGCGATTCTTCTCCTCTCTGCCAATAGTCAGCCAGTCTTCCTCCTGTCTCAAAACATCACTAAACCTTGCCCACCCCCACCCCCCCATTTCAAGGGTTTTTGTCCACTTCCTCGGGGTTTAGTCCATTCCGACTGTTGGGAAAGAGGCGGAGCCTGTTGCTTTTCTATTAAGGATGTTTATTCATTGCATGGAAAACACCAGAACTTATTAAGCCCAACCCCCACATTGTCAAGCAACACCACTACCTTGTAGCTGTAAACGGGTCAGCCGTCTCCTTCAGGATGGGTTCTCCTCCTTCCTATGTGATCCCCAGTAGCCATGGCCTCTTCATTTCTCTGGCAGCTTAGAAAAAAAATATTTTTGGCGGGTGTCCTGGAGAATTTATTGACCCAGTGTGACCCTCATACTGCAGATGGCAGCAATATCCCAGCACAGCCTCGGGTTCTCAAAGAGGGTAACTTTCACCAAGATTTTTATTAACTAAAACTCTGCCCAGGATGAAGTCTGCTCTCAATTTTCTACGTGTCCTAAATCTTTTAACAGTGATCCAGATCCCATGAGCAGAACAAAGGGAAAGGAGTACTTGATTTCCCCGAGTGTCTTCTTTAACTTTTCATGGCAGGTGTACCCACCAGACTTCCTGCAGCACGTTGGCAGCCTACATTCCACAGCGCAGGAGAAATTCATCGGGGCTGATCAGGAGCCAACCTGATTAGCCAGGTGGGGAGAAAACCACGCTGCCAACAGCAAATGGTTATCTTCCAGAGAAATTACCAGAGTTTGTCAGTAAGGGAGGAGGCCAAGTTCACACACCTATGTTGACTGAGGTACTCAGTGCAATTACTCCAATTCTGAGAGTGTTCCTCCCCTCACAGGCCGTCAGGATGCCCTGCATTGGGTGGGTGGTGGTATCTGAGCTTTCTCTGTATGATTCACATGCCCACAAAAGGGGCCCATGCACACTGTTGGTGGGAACACAAATTGATAGAGCCACTGTGGAAACCAAAAGGGAATCCTTCATAATAAATACATAGTAAAATGAATAAACAAATAATACGCCATTCTTGTCCAATGTCTGGAGGACATAAAAATCTTTGTGTGTACGAGTCAGCCCCTGCAGCCTTGTCACACAATACACACACAGAAGAGGATGGAATAATTTGCTCAGCTCACAGTTTCAAGGAGTTTCCATCCATGGTCCTTGGCATCATTGATTCTGGGTTCATGATGAGAGAGGACATCAGGGCAGTAGAAGCGTGCAACAGAGGCTACTGGCCCTGTGGCAAACAGGGTAATCAAGCAAGAAAGGGTTCAGGACAAGTTCTGGCCCCCAGAGAAAGTTCCCAGACTTTCTTATTAGATTCTTGGTCACTGTTCTGGATAGTTTTATGTCAACAGGACACAAGCTAAAGTCATCTGAAATGAGGGAACCTCAATTTAAAAAATGTCTCTGTAAGATCAGGCTGTCGCGGCTGTTGGGAACAGCTGCAGAGACCCATAGCCAGACATTAGTGGGAAGGAGATCCCGAATTAGAGATCTCCATTGGGTCCCTTCCCTTGGAGCTTGGGAAACCCATGATGAAGAGAAGGGGGGATCATTGTAGGAGCCAGGGGAGTTGAGGACACCAGGAGAATGTGGCCCACAGGACCAACTAAGCAGGGCTCATAGGGGCTCACAGAGACTGAGGTGACAACTACGGAGCCTGGAGGGGGCTGAGCTAGATCCTCTGCAGATACACTATGCTTATGTAGCTTGATGATGTGGGGCTCCTAATATTGGAAATAGGGGTGTCTCTCACTCTTCTGCCTGCTCTTAGGACCCTTTTCTCCTACTGGGCTGCCTCACCCAGCCTTGATGTAAGTGTTTGTGCCTAGTCTTATTGTATCCTGTTATGTCGTGTTCAGTTGAGATCTCTGGAAGGTCTGTTCATTCCTAAAAGAAAACAGAGCAGGAGTAAAGCTGCGGGAGAGGAAAGATGGGGGAACACTGGGAGGTGTGGAGGGAAGGGAAACTGTAGTTGGGGTGTATTGTATGAGAGAAAAAAAACTTAAAAAGTCATTATACACCTGCACAAAATGGCCTTATGAAGGTGCTGATTTTAGTTAGCAACACTGTATTCGATACTTAAAGTTTGGTGAGTAAGACTCAAAGGCCTTCACCACACCAAAAAAGGTCATTATGTGGGGTGATTGGTAAAATGTTGGCGTGTGGCACTTGCTTGTAATTGTAGCGCTTAGGAGGTGGTGGCAGGAGAATCAGAAGTCCAAGGTCTTCCTCTGCCACACCCTGAGCTAAAGAGCAGCCTCTATTGAGCAGAACCCTCTCTCAAAAGCAAAACCAAAGTCCAAGCAACCAAGCAAACCAAAAACATAAAAAACAAAACAACACTTTCTTTTTAATTCCCTAAAACTGGGACTGTTTGAGAGGCAACAGTAGTCACCAAGTCCAGTGGGTTACTTTTTTTTTTTTTCAAGATTTATTTACTTATTCTTACTTATGTATACAGTGTTCTGCCTGCACGTATGCCTGCAGGCCAGAAGAGGGCACCAGATCGCATTACGGATGGTTGTGAGTCACCATGTAGTTGCTGGGAATTGAACTCAGGACCTCTGGAAAGGCAGACAGTGCTCTTAACCTCTGAGCCATCTCTCTAGTCCCCAGTGGGTTACTTTTTAAAGACACAGCTTTATAAACACTGTCACAGCATGTAGAGATTTTTTTTTTCCTCTTTCATCAACCATGTCCTTCTTCCTAATGGGAAAAAGCAGTTGAACCAGAGCTGGCTGCGGTCAGGATCAATATTCCCCACTGAGCTGAGCCTGTCTTCGAGAATAGTGCACTGCAGTCAGTTTTACTCACAGTTGACAACCCCAACAGATGCTGGAGGGGAACTAATGGTTTCTGTGTGGATTCTTGCTTCCCTCCCCAGTGCTCACTGTTATGGGATCTGTGTCTGAGGTCCCCTCAGTCAGATAGAGAAGCCTAGCGGGCTGTTATTAACACGCTTCTTCATGAAGTGTGTGCCCCCTAAATTCATATACAGAATTCCTGGCTACAAAGGAAATTGACTTCAATGTCAATAAGCAGAGGCCCTAACCCAACATGGCCTAGGTCCTTGTGAGAAAAAAAAAAAAAAACAATTGTCTCAAATATACATAAACAGCCATCTAGATGCCACAAAGAAAGACCTCAGGGGACACCAATCCTGTCTGCCCTGCCAGTCTTCTAGCCAAGAAGGCTGTGAGAAAATGCAGCTCCTGATGTTTAAGCTGTGGTACTTGCCACAGAGGCCCTAGCCAATGAATACAACCTGAGGCAAATCTATTTGGCCCACAGAGTACAGACTACTGTTCTGGAACCTTCTACCTGAATGTTTCTCCTGATTTTTGGCTTCCTTCTCTCTGTTCCTGGAAACAGGACCCCCAGCGAGTTTCATGTTGCAGGGAAGGATGTCCCATTAGATTAGCATGGACATTTGTGCAACTTTGGATCACTAGCCTGAGAACCTGAGACACCCCCCAATGTGGGGATTCTTTGCGTGTCCTACAGAGCCTATTTCCCCATAATAAATCAGCCCCCTCTCTGATTTACTTTTACATTTGAAACATAATTTTACTTGGTGAATTGTTGAATTGCCAGATCAGAGTTTTAAAACCAGGAATACGGAAGGGGGTGAGTCCAAGTCACAAATGTTTGCTCCTTGAAGGGAACCAACTGCATACTTATTCAATACAGGCAGGGCTCAGCTTCCCTGCCGCCGTAACACTAGGCCCAGTCCCCAAATCCCTCAGGATGAGCCGGGAGCTCCAGATGCCAGGAAAGTGGTTCCACGCCGTCAGGTGAGCTGTACAAATGAGAGGTAATTTGACAAGTCAGTCGGCACGAAGCAACCAGTCAAGTCAATGCAGAGTGCTTTAATGCACTTAAAAGCCCAGAAGCAAGCCCGGGCTGGGTAATAATGGCCTAAACACCACCAGGGACTTCCCAAGTCTAATTTCCAGCCCTGATGGCCATGGTGTTCCATCTCCATTGGGCTAATTAGGGTACAGTGGAGACAGAATCTGACAGAGAAGCTCACCCGGGCCTTGCTCTAGATTTATGGGGACGAGAAGTTGCCAAGAAGGTGAATTAGACATCAACAGGGCTTCCCCGAGGATGATGAAGCCTCCGCGGCATTAAGACCATGAGATTTAAAGTGAATCTGGATCAATGTTAGGCAGAGAGACTGGGAGACACGGTCAGAGCTAGCCATGGGGTCCTGATTGCTTCATCATTCAAACGATTGATTCCTTCATCTGTGAGGTTACCTATCTCGAAAAGCCGCTGTGAGAAATGAAATCTACTCAGTATGTCCTACACCAACAAACGGTAGCAACTTCTGGATTACGTCATTGCTCTTGATAGTCTCCGCTATAGTGAAATAACCCCAAAGAGACCATCCTTGAGAAGTGAAGGTCCAGTACCTTTCAGACTTGGAGTCTGTGCCCAGTCCTGACATATGCACTTCAGTGCAGAGTTCTACATGGGTTGTGTCTCAAAGGTGGTCGTTTTCCTATCAACTTTTAAGATAACTAGACTTGAATCACAATTTCCGTAATTTATCTATCCCTCCCACATTCTCTAATTTTAGCTCTAGCTGCTTCTCCCCTTGACCTCTGCTGTCGTCCACCATGCTGGGTCAGCATCTCAGAGAGCCGTGAGCTAGACTGCCTACAAATAGAGAGAAACCCTCGCCCCTCTCCTGATCGGCCTAATAGCCAACTCTTCCCAGGATTATCAAATGCACGTGATGTCCTGCTCCCAATTCACTCTGATTTCCAGCGGCTGAAGCTCTGATAGCAGCAGAATCCAACAGTTAGCAGGCACACACCATCATGAGAGAGGACGCTGAGGGTCACACCCCAAGTCCATACTCTGGGAGTCTCGTAACTGTTGAGATCTAGTTCATCAGTTGATCAGTAAATTAACTAACCAAAATCTGTTCTGTTACAGAATCGGATGAATTCTTAGAAGACATTAGCAAAAACGCAAAGGACTTAGAAGAGTGAACTCAATCTTAAAAAGAAGTACAACAAACACTTAAGCACACACTACCTGGTTTCAGGTTGTCCTGTAGAGCTAAAATTTTACAAGGATGAAGAGAATTTGGTAGTGGCGTCAAAACAGTAAAATAAGGTAAGGGAGGAGAAAAGAGTTCAGAAGTGAGCCAAGTAGATGATTGATTTTTTTTTTCCAACTGAGGTACTCACACAAGCCAATGGGAGGAAAGAAAGCCTTTCAATCAATGGGTTTGGGACAAATGGATAAACACACAGGACTAAACAAGCCTCGACCCCTATTGTCCACGCACACAACATTAATCTGAGATGGATTACATATCCAAACATAAAAGCGAAGGATATAACATTGCTAACATAAGAGAAGAGGAAGCAAAGATGTGGAAAATACTACATATAGAAGCATGTTTTGATAAATTGGATGACATCAAATGAAAAACGTTGTTCTTCGAAGAGCACACGGTTGAGAAAATGAGAAAGAAGAGGGATTGCCTGGGGAAACAGTTACAGCACACCTGTCGGGCTTGGGTTCAGAAAAAAGAACTCCTCTACAAACCTACAATAAAAAGGCAAACACCCTGTTCCAATACACTAAAACCATTTGACACAAACCCTCAAGACTCAGATAGCATCACAGGAGAGGGGGTGGGAAGACTACAAGAGCCAGAAAATGGGGACGAGTGCTGGGGACCACTGTGTCATGGCGTGGCCGCTGCCACCCTTGTGAACTGACAGCTGCAGAGGCTACCCACACAAGACCTTCCCAAGAGCAATACAGTCCCAGTTCCAGCACGGATGCCAGAGGGACTCGTGAGGCACACACACCCCCAAGCTGAGGAACCACCAGAAATTAATGGAGCCTGGAGAAGGGGTAGTTATTCATTTCTGATGGGGTTATAGCCACTAGCAGGCTGTCCATGCTCCAATGGATGGTTTTACATCCATGTGTGGGTATCACTAGAAGGATACAGGGATATATTTTACAGTTTGAGGGAGAGGACATGAAGCTGGAAGGAAGATCTATTAAAAGGGTCTGGGGGAGTTGAAAAGGGAAATGGGGGGCAGATATGAACATAATACACTGTCTGCATAAGTCAAGTTCTCGAAGAATAACTTTGTTTTAAAATCCGTGAAGATGGTAACAAACATGAAAGAAGATCTCTAATGACTGGTAGCCATGTGGGAAGATAGCTATTGGCATTTCTCAGTGGGATGTGCAAATCAAAGCCACATTCGGGTGCTATCTACCCCTGGAGTAGTTATACGAGCAATACAATTTTTACAGTATCGGATGCTGACAAGAATATGGAGCAGCTGGAACTCTTCTAGATTGCTGGTAGGAATACACGGCAAAGCAACTACTTTGAAGAGAGTTTGGTAATTCTACCATGTGCTCGATATTTGCCCAAGAAAAACGAAACTATTGGTCCTTGAAGAGGCTTGTATACAAATACTTATAGCAACTTTACTCAAAATAAGTCCCAGACAATCAAGTGGATATGCACAGTGGTTGCTTCCTAGCAATAGAAATTAATGTTGCAGCCAATGAAGGACACAATATGAATAAACCTCAAAGTATTGCATTGCATAGAAGCCAGACACAGAGGAGTATGTACCGTCTATTCCACATACGTGAAATTCAAGAACAGGTGAAATTAATCTGTGGTATTAGTAGTCAGAACAGCGGCTGCTTCCATTTCATAGGTGTTTACTGAGAGGAGGCAAAGGAATATGTGGGCTGGTGGAACTATCTCGTATCTCAATTATAACGGTGGCTACATGTGTATATATGCTGATCAAATAGCAACAAATACTTAAGATCTATGCATCTTACTGCATGTAAACGTTACCTAGAGAACTAACAAGACCTAGTAGTGAGATGGGTCTGTGGTAAAAACGCCTTACCATAGGAGCTGGCCAACAACCCAAGTCCAACATGGTAGAGGAAAGATCTGACTCCTATGATTTCCACATGCTTGCCGTGGCACACGTGTGCTACAGCACTCACACATACATACACACTACCCACATGTATGCACATACTAATAAGAAGAATTTATTAATTTAAAATAATAAAAAAGACCTTTAAATTCAAACAATTCTCACAGGTCACTACTGAGGGATAATGGCACTTGCAGACCCATCTGTGAGTGGCGGCAAAGACCTGAATGCTTAAGAGAAGCAGATAGATCTCTGTGAATTCAAGTCCAGCCTGGTCTACAGAGTGAGTTCCAGAACAGCCAGGGCTACACAGAGAAACTCTGTCTTGAAAAACCACAAAAGAAAAAGATGAAGCAGAGCCAGAAAAATAACTTATTGGTAAAGCTACTTGCTGCCAAGGCTGACACCCTGAGTTCAGTCTCTGAGACCCACATGGTGAAAGGATAGAAACAAATTCTACAAGTTGTCCTTTGATGGTCACGTGGGTGCTATGCAGGTGCACCCCTCACATACACGCATACTGTCCCAGGACTGACAGCCTTGTTCAGTGTGTTTTATTAATACACTTTCTCTCTCCCTTGCTGTGCAGTCAAGACACTCAGACCAAATTGATTTTATCAGAGCCAGCTAGCAAGGAAAAGTGTGATTGGAAGGAGCTACATCATTGAGCTGTAAAGGCTGCCGGCCTGCGTGGGTCAAGCCGATCTCCTCTTCTCGCTCTGTCTCGAAGGCAGTCTTCCCGCAGGAGAGCAGCTTCCTTCTCCCTTCCTCAGCAGGTCCAGCCTCATGCTGCAGGCTACACAGCCTATTTCAAAGAGTTGTGGATTTTTGTCTTTCATGCAGTTTTTTCTTTCACGCCAGCATTCCTCAACCCTGGCACTATTGACATTTTGGGCTAGATAATCCTTTGTGGTCATGGGGAGTAGCAAGAGTCTGCAGGTCGGAGGATGTTACCAGTCTCTCAGTCTCTCTCTCTCTCTCTCTCTCTCTCTCTCTCTCTCTCTCTCTCTCTCTCTCCCCCTACCAGTTTTAACAATCATACATGCCTATACTGTCAGATGCCCCATGGGGCCAAACCTGGTTAAGAACTATTGTTTAAGATGGAATTGTATGAAAGATTTCAGGTATTTTATGACTGCTCTGCCTCATAGACCGATCTATTTGCCCTCCATGCAAACCTTTTACAAAGACCAGCTCAAGGTGTAATCCACGTCCAGCTGCCTCCTGGAGCATCTGCGTACCTCTGTATTTGTGCATTACAATGCCTCATTGATCCTCCCTTTCATAAATCCCATTATCCATTCATATTTTGACTCTAAGAGATGTTTGCTCAGGTCACGTCTGCTGTGTCTAATGGTCCGGGGAACTTAAAAGCTTCCTGCCAGCAGGCACTTCCCACTATCGACTGTGGGCTTCTGGAAAAAGTATGTGGCTTTCTCACAAGTGTGGTTGGGTCCCCACCCCGTTCCAAAGCTTCGGGTGTCACCTTGTGTACAGACAAGATCGCTGAGCTCCGAATGCTTGTGTCCAGCTATTTGTAACTTGAATCTGGAGACGCCAACCAGAAGGCTGCCCCTGCTGCAGCTGCTGCAGCTTCCCTAGGACAGAAAGAGCAGCAGGAGGCCCTGTTGCCAGTAGGAGGGATGGGCCATGCCCTTCTCTGCCTCCCTCTTCCATTCTGAATGGTTTCTTCTGTTTCAGTTTGACACAGGACCTTGCTATGTAGTCCAGACTAGCCTTGTAGTCGTGAGCCTCCTGCCCCAGCCTTCCAAATGCTGGGATTACAAGCACATTCAGCTTGGGCTTTCTTTCTTAAATCATGAGGATGCTTCTCAGTTCCAGACAAGTGTTCTGTGCTGGAAGTACTTGGAGGTCCACGTTGTATTTTACCCTTACCGGCCAATGGTCATTTTGAGATCTGGAAATGCTTGGGTGGAAATTGTTGGGCCACTCAACTTTACCTAGAAATTAAAAATAAAAAAAGACTAAAGTCAGGTCTGGTGTTCCAAGCCTGTATGGCAGCTACCGGAAAGAATGAAACAAGAGGATCACAAGTTCAAGACCTGCCTGGGCTACAGAACCAGTTCAAGGTCATCTTAGCCATCTTAGCCAGACCCATATCAAAAATCAAAACATTTAAAAGGGATTGGGAGTAAATTTCAGTTGTAGACTGCTTGCCTACGAATGTGTAAGGTCTTAGGTTCAATCCCAGTGCCAGAGAGAAGGAGAGAGAGATAGAGAGAGAGAGAGAGAATGCCAGCAGCTAATTTGCCCATAACAAAGATCCTCCCTCTAGTTGACTGTCTCTCTATTTCTACTTCTTCTGCCATAATTCCTACCATAACTTCATGGCAAGCGCTGTGGGTCCCAACCTTACCTACTAGACTGTTCTCTGTTTCTGGTGACTTTAGTTTACCATCATCCCTCGAAGAAAATTAGCCCCCACACAGACGCAACATACACCTGTCAAAACGCACACCCATCTCTGCCCTGCCGCATGCTTTAACACACCTTTGGATCTCTTGCTGTTTCTTCAAGCTGACCCACAGAACCGGACCGTCTTCTTGTTCCTCCTCTCCAGCCCATCCCTGCCTCAGAAAGCCCTTCGCATTCCTCCACGGGATCTCCACTCCTCTGGGTTCCTCATGCACCACCCACCCTTCCCTCTGGTCTCTCCTTCCCAGATGGATACCACTTCCCCTTTAAGCAAAGTTGCCTGGCATCCATTCTTAGGGTTCAGCTCTACTCTCCTCTTCCCTGGGGACTTCACTGGGATCTCTTTCTGGCCTCGTAGTTCCTGATACAGATTCAGAGTTACTGGTTCCTTTTCTTCCCACCAGAAGATGACTTTTCTCTGAGAGTAGGGACAGTGTGGTCACTCTGCTCTGAGTCTGAAGTGCCCAGCTCCGGGTGGGAAGACTCTGTCTTCTTGGTTCAGTTGGGCCTGTCTTCTCTCTACTCTTGCCTGTGGCTTTAGTTCAGGTCAGGGCCATCTCTTCTGTGGTCGAACAAACCAGGGTTTGGCTTATTTGGATTCCAACTGAGGTTGATGGCAGTAGATTTGGGGAAGAGAGAGACTTCTGGATATGGCCTGGAAATGAAGCAACAGGACCCACTAAGGAAATGGATGAGACAGGGGACAGAGGGATGGTCTAGACCTGTCATTTCCTTCAGGATCTTCAGGTCCTAAATTCCTATGTCAGAGCTTAAGAGCGTTTTGGTCTGGTTTCTTTTGCCCCCAAACTTCACTTCACCCCCATCCCTTACTCATCTCTTGCAGTGGGAAGCTGCTTATTCATTTCCTAGCTGCCCAGACTCCTGAAATAACCAAACAGAAACTGTATTAATTAAATTGCTGCTTGACCCATCACTATAGCATATTCCTAGCAAGCTCTTACATATTAAATTAAACCATTTCTATTATTTTATATTTTACCATGAGGCTCGTGGCCTACAGGCAAGGTTCTGGCATATCTTTCTCTGGTGGTGGCTCCATGGCTTCTTTCTCACTCTGCCTTCTTTCTCCCAGCATTCAGTTTAGTTTTCCCTGCCTACCTAAGTTCTGCCTTGCACAGGCCTAAGACAGTTTCTTTATTAATCAATGGTACTCACAGCATACAGAGAGGAATCTCACACCAATCTCTTACATTCTTCCCTTAATTCCAAGCTGTAGCCACGAACATCAGTGTGTAGGTCTCTGGACTGCCCGTGGTCTCTGTCAGCTGCACCCCACCCTTCATCCAGCCCACACTTTCTGGTCCCTCGTTCTCACAGACATCACCTCTTTTAGGAAGATGGACCTGACGGCTCTCCTCTGGTGTGCCTCCTTGTATTCTTTACTTGCCCGACCCTTGCCTTCCACTCACACTGGTATTTCTACCTCCCCTCCTAGATTATAAATCTCCCAGCAGAGGATATGGTGTCTTATTCATTGCGACAACACCCTGGGATAGCATAGTGTATGGTCCACAGTGTAAGCTTAATATACATTAAATAGCAAGGCTACCAGTGAGGTCCAGAGAGAGAAACTAGCTTTTTCAAGTCCCTGGACAGAAAGGAGCAGAGCTAGGATTCAAGTCTATATAAATAGGATATAGCATTTCTTACTCTTTTTTTTTCCCCCTAGAGAAAAAAATTAAGATGCGGATCCAGTTTTGTGGGCAAGGAACAGAAACCCTAGAAGAGGTTAATTGATCGCTTCCTTCCTGGAACTGGCATTGACAGGCAAGGCAAAGGCTGGGAGGAGTCAGGTGTCATCTGCCAGGGCGGGTGGGGCAGGAAAAGCTTGGATGGAGGTGAGGCGATCTGGAAGGGACAGAAAGCAGCACTAGAGGCCCTGGAGCAAGCAGGTCTAGGAGGGCAATGGACCAGACAGTCACCTCGCTGCCCTTCCTGAGCCAGCAGATTCGGGAGGAAGAAATGGGTGGGTGGGTCAGATAGCTCAGGTAGCTGGGGCTTCCAAGGGCCCTTCCTGGTTGTCCAGCATGTGTGGCTCTTCCCAGAATCTTTTGAGCTCACCCATCATGCCAGGCCCTGTCTGAGGCCTCTCCCCTCTCGAAAGAAAACAGGTCCTGCAGAGCTGTAAGAAAAGAAGAGGGGCTGATTTCCCATCCACCGTGGCCGGGCAGCCAGCAATCCAGCTGAAAATTATGTGGAGGTCACTTGTATATCTGTCTTTACCTGCAAGGATGCTGAGTATTATAGATACTGATATATAGATAGATAGATAGATAGATAGATAGATAGATGTAGATTGATTGATAGATGATAGAGAAAGAGGGGAGGGAAGGAAGGAGAGAAAGAAAGGAAGGAGGGAAGGAGGGAGAGAGAGAGAGAGAGAGAGAGAGAGAGAGAGAGAGAGAGAGAGAGAGAGATTGTATGTGTAGAGGAGGGAAGGGAGAGAGAATGCATACATGTCCCACAGCGCATATAGAGGTCAGGTAACAACTTGCAGGAGCTGACTCTTTTTACCATTTGGGTCCCAGGAGTTGAACTCAGATGGTCAGGCTTGGCAACAAGTCCCTTTACCCTCTGAGCCCTCTCGCTGGCCCTTGGAGGATGAGACTCCCTAGCTCAAGAATCTCTGCCCATGAAGACGGTACTCCTATGTGGATCTGTGAAAAGTTATCTCAGGACGTTTTGTTTTCTTTCCTAAAAGCTGCTGGCTACGAAGTCTCTGCCATGTGGAAAAATACGAGGTTTTTATTTTAAACTTAGATCCTGGGGTTGATTTTTCAAGAGTATGCCAAGTCTACGCTCCAAATCCACTCATTCCATCTGACCTGCAAGAACACATCTGCCCCGGACTTGCCCCGCCCGACTTCTGACGGTGGCACATGTCTGGTGCTTTTGATTAAAGAGAAGGGTTTGTTAGCATGTCATGTACAGTATATCAAAGGAGATCAGGCACCCGTCTGCAAGTCAGATGACAAAGGAGTGGTCTGCCTGGGTACAGCTAAGCAGAGGTTGTGAAGCGTCAGCGCGAGGGATGACTCATAATTTGGAAGTGTTCATTAGCAGCGGTTTAGGTAATAATCATGTAGGAGTCCCAGGGTCCTCGGTGTTCAGTGAAGCAAAGCAATTTCCCCAAACATCCATCTGTCCCGAGCGCAGAGGAATTCCGACTAAATTGGAGAACCACCACGGTCAAGGAGGCTCTGCAACATTTGGCAATCATTTCCTAAACTGGGATTTCTCCAGCTGCTCGGTTTAGATGGATCTAGGTTAAGATCAGGGCTTACCTTTAATCAATTCATGATGAAAAGCTTTTGTTTCTGAATAGCAAGTCTGCCCCCAACACCATGCCCTTTGTATTTAAATCAAAATATACATGTTACACACACACACACACACACACACACACACGTAGTTACATACTCTCAGACAGAGATCAGTGGGGCCAGCAGGAAAGCCAGTCTCTTTAACTGTTAATGTATGAAATATTGACTTCCTCCCTGGCCCAACCCTTATATTTTCTGTATGCATCTCATGGGATGTCAGCTGTCCATCTTGGTGCTGAGACAGGGACAGAAATGCAATTTACTTCATGGAGTTCCTTCTAGACCGACTAAGTCCTGACGTCCCACAGTGCACGTTTCAAAGTGCCCTGTGAGAAGCTGCTAGAACGCAGCCTCTAAGACCCCACTCACTGATCAGGGCCCCCATCCTCAAGCACCGATGAGGAAGTCAGCTGTCGGTTAGAAGATAAGACGTTCTCAAGCATAGCATTCTTTACCTATTTCATAGTTCTCCCCCCCACCACCTGTTGCTCCCTCTAACACCCAGTGCTCCCTCCCATCACCCAGTGCTCCCCACCATCACCCAGTGCTCCCACCATCACCCAGTGCTCCCCACAACTACCACCCTGTGCTCCCCACCATCACCCAGTGCTCCCCACCATCACCCAGTGCTCCCCCACTACCTAGTACTCCCACCACCACCCAGTACTTCCCACCCCCCCAGTGGTGCCCCACCACCACCCAGTGCTCCCCACACCACCCAGTATTCCCCACCATCACCTAGTCCTCCCCCACTACACAGTGCTCCCACCACCACCACCTAGTGCTCCCCACCACCACCCAGGGCTGCCCCACACCACCCACCCGGAGAAAATGACTGTTTTCCCTTTAAAAGTCGTTCAATGAAGACTCTTTGGAACTGTTTGTATTGGTCACTCATCAGATCACCTGTTTGTTGAGTGACCATGAGTGCAAAAAACCTACAGTAGATGTATTTCAGAGGAAGTCTTCCACCATGAGTCTTCAGTCACGTGTCCAGTGTGTTTCCTGGCATGGCCTCCTTTAGTAAACAGTCTACCAGGTGGAGTGGCAGGTTCACAGGGGAACCTTCTTGGGCCCAGGGAGAAGGAGCTGCAGAGCAAGGAGATGGAGGGGGTGTTTCCTACACTGGCTCCTAGACAGCCCTATCCCCTCCCCCCAGCAGTATACAGAGGCTCCATCAGCATGGCTGGGGATAAGCTGCCCTCTGCCCCTACAAATGTAATATTGTTTAAAACCAGCTATAGAAAAGCAGAACAGCTTCTGGGGTTAAATCCAGCCTGTTCATGGCGCCTTGGGGAAGCTGCACAGAGAGACACTTGCAAGCTGTCTCCTGTATCTGGCAAGGGCCCGTAGCACAGGGCTGTCTTCCCACCACCTCAGTGATCTCTGACAGGGATGGCTGGGGTGCACTGAGAAGCTGAAACCAGGCACTGCCAAGAAAGCTTGGTCAGTCCGTCCTGCTGCAAAGCCGAGGGTGGGGTCAACAGGGATGCCAAGCCTGCTTCTCACTTATTCAGTGTTGTCTTACACCGAGAAGCCCAGAGGAATTAGCTCCTAATCCAGCCCATCAGAGCTGTGCTTAAAACCAGTCCTCCCATCCCAGGCTCTGACACGCTCCCTTCCCGTCCTGTGCCTATAGCTGGCACCGATTATTTTTCTGTTTGCAAGTCTTCGTGGGTATTTAATAGAAAAGCAGGAGCCGGGAGCCGGCTGCTCTGCCTTTACTCTACTGATCTCCACTAGATCAACCGATTGCACTTAAAAACGCTAACTCAATATTGATTAACAATTTAAAGAGCTTCCAACTTTTGTGGTTGTTTTGTTGTTGTTGTTCTGGGGAGAGATCTATGGGGCTGGGGGGGGGCATTTGTCCATGTGGAGGTCAAAAGTCAACCCTGTGTGTCTTCCTTCAAGAGCCAGCTGCTTGGTTTTTGAAGCAGGGTGTTTCTCTGGCCTGAGATTCTCAGACCCGGCTAGACAGGCATGTCTCTTCTCATCCAGTGCTGGGATTATACACGAACTCCATCTTACCTGGCTTTTCTGCTGAGCATTAAGGGCAGAATGCAGGTCCTTGTGTTTGCTGTTTTTGTGAGGAGTGCATTAAAGACTGAGCGGGGTTTTTTTTTTTTTTTCAGCCCTTGATTTTTTTTTTTTTTTTTGAGACAGAATCTGGATAAATAGCCCAGTCTAACCCCATGCTCAAAATCCTCCTGTCTTGACTTTTCAAGAGCCAGGATATGTGTGCGCCATCACAACCTGCGCTAAGAGCGCCCACCTTAGAAGCCAAAATCATATTCAATGACAAACTAGAAGTAACTCCTCAAGTAAACGGGATTAGAGACCCCTGCTTTCTCCTTTCCTTTGGTTCTCCATCCCTTTCACAATCCCTGAACCTCTACTACAGGTGGGACTCAAGGTCGTAAACAATGAGGCCCTTCTTAGAGGGGTTTACTGCTCAGCAGTTACCATGGTTACCAAATCAGGCTGTTTCTCCTTATGCAATCACCGTGAAGAGAGCAGAAGGAGTAGAGACTGGCGCACCAGTTTGTGTCTGTCGTAATTTTCATCTCTCCCCCACCCCTGCCCGGTGGTGCTTTTGATTAAACCCAGGGTTTCAAATACACTAGGCAAATGCTCTTCCGTGGAGCCACTTCCCCCAGTGCAACTGGTCCTTGTTTTCAGGTGGCTGAATTTCACTCTTTGATTGGTCCACGGGGTAAGGTACACACTGCGGCAGGCAATCCTGTCAAGTACTTACGATGTCTCAAAGACTTTTCCTCACAAGACATATGACAAGCCAGGGAAGACCAGCCCCTCAGCAGGTAATGTGTAATCTCTAAGTCCATCTGAGTCCCATAGGTGCTAAAGTAGCGGTCAGGGGAAAGCCTCCTCCCAAGCATAGTGCCCTGGATTAGCTTCTGTTGCCCTGATAAAGAATCGATGACCCAAAGCCCCTTAAGGAGAAGGGGGTTCCTTTAGCTTACGGTTCCAGATTATAGTGCATCACTGTGGCTAAGTGACGGTGGCAGGAGCCTGAAGCAGCTTTTTACATCACAGCCACAGTCAGCAGCAGACAGTGAGAGTCTGCTCCTTAGAGCTCAGCTAGTTGTCTCTACCCTTATGCACTCCAGGGCTCTGAATCAGGGAATGGGGCTGGGGCTGAAGCAGTCAGGACAATCCCCCCCAGAGACACGCCCACCTGACCTGCACAATCCCTCACTGAGATTCTCTTCCCCAGGCTGTGTCGAGTTGGCCGTCAAATTAACTGTCACTCATTACTATGCCCAAGGCATGTCATGTGCAAAAGGGACAGCCAGGCTGGAACCACAAATATCCCAAGCCAAATATCCTAAAGGTCTTCTCCTTTCCCCTTGGGTTTTATCCCTCTCCTTGTTGCAGCCCCTGACCTTGGAGAGTGTGGTCTTTTTGATGCGAACCCCGTAGAAGGCAAAGAGGGAAGAACAGCCAACTCCTCCGTGATCTCTGAAAAGCCGTTCTCTCGTCCTCCTTTGCTCAGTAGGAATAGCTGTGCTTGCTCCATGAGGCACTGGAGATGAGAACAGACTCAACTCAGGCAGCTTCTGTGCCACACACAGACACACACAGCCACCCTCCAGCACCGTGCTTTTCCCCGACGGCCTTCCCATCCATCCTAAAGACTGCAAGCTGAGTGACCACCTGCCCTGTGTGCCGGGGAGGGTCTGGTGATGCCTCCACTCCCACTCTCATCGGTGTAGCAGCCTTGGGATCTGGAATCCTAAGACAACCAGGACAGCCGGGCTGGTTGACTGACCCAGTCCCCTCGTAACACTTCTGCTGTAACCCAATTCATTATCTGGGACACAAAGGGAGAGGACTTCTGGAAAATGCAAACGCTTTCCCGCCACTCTGCCAGGACTCTTGGAAGAGATCTCACCCATCCTTTGGAGGGCCTGGCATGCATACATGAAGGCGACCGTTTTGTTACCGTGGGAGAGAGCAGGTTGGCTTGCGGTGGTGTTTCCAGAGAGGATGGAGTCAGAGCAGAGAGATTAAGAACGCTGTTCATCACTTGCTCACACAAGCCAGCAAAGCAGCAGCACAGCCCACCCGGCTCCTTCTGCTCTTCAGGACCTAAGAGTTCGTAAATCTCTTTATTATCTGAGGTCTTCTGAGTTGGGCTTTCTATTTCTTGACCCTGAGCAGAGATTAAACAGACAGAGTCCCTTTCCTGGAAAAGGGAAAGAGGAGCCAGTTGCTCTCTGGGCCACCACACACCTCCAAACCACCACCCCCACTCTTTTTGCAAAATAAACACAATGGATAAAGATGATTATTGAGCAAACACATTATGAATTTAACTCTAAATTAGGAAGTTGAAATGATAGTCAGACCCCATGGGCACCAGGAATCCCTCCCCCAAATACATACATCACTTAAAGGACTGTGCCTGGGGCACAGACAGAAGGAAGCAGAGGCATGATTGTGTTAGCCTGGGCTACCTAATCTTTGAACAAGTTTATTTTCCCAGCCTTTGACACTCTCACAACAATGTTCCATTTGCTGTAAGTTTGGCCTTTTTAGCAACAGCCTTCCTGTCACACGGCACCCCAGCTCCTAACAATGGGGGGGAGTGTCTCAGGAGGTCCACAGTCACGTAAGATGACTTCCCACCCTGGTACCACAGCCTACCCACCACGTGTATCTTCCACACCACAGTCCGTGCCAGAGCCTCACAGCAGACTTAAAACATTTAAGCTCCAGGATCCAAGATAAGTCTTTTTTAAAATAAATAAAGATAAGCCAAGACATGACTGCCCACTTGGATGTTTCTCCGGCCTTGGTTCTTTTATCTTCTTTGGCTGCGAGAAGGAGCTGCATGTTGAACCTGAATTTGAACCTGAGTGTGCTTGGTACGGCTCCAGAAACATCGGGCCCACAGGTCCTCCAGAGCACGGAGGGGTGTGCTTCCCTGACAAGAAAGAATTCCAGGGGTCCTTGAGAATCCTGGGGTTATCAGAGGCCTCTGCAGTCACAGCAGGGGAGGCATCCAGATAACTTCAGCCGGCTCTGTGCCTCCCTGGTCTGCACTTGCAAACTGGAGCTAACATGGGGCTCCCAGACTCTTCCAGAAAGTTCTGAGGTGGAAGTGCTTGCAGCAAGACAGAGATACGAAAAGCCTCCATTAGACAGCTGCTTCAGGAGAGGCTCTCAACCACCCTGTGTGACACGGTCACAGGCCCTGTCTATAGTCCCCAGAGTCCCTTCCTTCTTGCAGCCGTGGGTTGGTGGGTGTCGCAACATTTATGCAAGACCCAGATGCCTTTGTGCTAGCCCCCAAATGCCTTCCATGACTGGACAATTGGTCTCTCTGGAAACCTGTGAAAGCTTTGGAAGGTGGGGTCCACTTGGAGGAAGCGGGTGACTCGGAAGAGGTGGGCTTTGTGGTTTATAGCCTGGCCCCGTTTCCTGCTTTCATAGAGATGGGAGTGAACAGGTCTTGTGTTCTACTTTGACACTACTCTCAAACCATGGCAGCTCACCATGATGAACGGCACCTTCAGACCAGGAGCCAAAATAAACCTTCCTCCCTGGAGCTGCTTGTCGGATATTTTATCATCGACAGCAGCAAGGACTGCACAGGGCTGGTCCTTCTCAGAGAGCACTTCCAGCTACGCCCCAGCCTCAGCTCCATCTTCAGTTTCTGCTCTGCAAACAGAGCTATCCAGAATATAACGGCACAGTGTGGTGCTCTGTGCACAGAAAGATCGCCTACTGCCGGCCACTCCTGCCGCTCTATCTGTGCCCTTCCCTGGTGGACCGGCACAAAGCACTGTGTGGCCCTTGACGCCAAGCAGTCATCGTCAATCCCCTTCTTAGTCTCTCCCATCGATGCAGAGAGTTGTGAAGAGGCCCGGGGACAGTGATGGGAAGCAGTCCCCACTCAGGTTTCTGTGTGATCCCTAATCCATGACCAATGCCACCCATATCTCTACCCGGTAACTCTGGCAAAGGTTTCCTCTCTTGCTGTCACACTGTTCAGTGGCTGTGTTCTGATCTCCTTTTGTGGGAGACCAGTTGTTGGGTTCAGACTGGCAGCTGCTGTGCCCAGGGCCTGGCTGCATCTGATGGTACCTCCCCGCTCTCTGCAGCTGGGCCAGGTGAACCGAAAGAACTTCGGGACCTGCAGACAAGCTGTCACATAGCTAGTTCCTCAGAATTGAAACAAACCTGTGTTCATCTCTTCCCTGTCCTGCGAGTTACCGCCCATAATGAATGACAGGGAAGTCAAGGCAATTGGAGCCAGATGCAACTGGTCACACTGCAGTAGCAGAAGAAGGGGTGAATGAGTGCTCAGCTCAGGGTCCCCACAAAACAGCTGAGGATCTTCTGTGAGGGTGGGGTTACATCACATCAATTAAAGCAATCGAGATAACACCCCCCCCCCATAACATACACTATGGCCCTTCTCCCTGATGATCCTAGGTTTTGTCAACAATGAGGCACCAAGCATCTCGATTACCTCCTGGAGAGAGGGATGCTCCTAAAATTGGGGAAGCTAGGGAAGTTAAAGGTTAGGGAGCTCGTGTCAGCGACTAAGATTCCCAAGGCTCCTCCCCACAGCTACTAAGCAGTTAATCACTGCTGATTGGGGGCGAGGGGAGACTGCAGTGGAGCCACCTGCAGAGCTGCAGGGATGCAGCTTTTGTGACCTGTCACTCACACTGGGGCAGGCCTTTGCGTCACCCACGCTCCTGTGAGTGACTCAATGACCTCATGAGTTCCCCGCTAGAGGTGCGCAGAATCAAGTCTCTGGTCCTTAGGGCCCTATCTGGAATGAAGAGGTCTGCTTCCATTCTTCAGGGAAAAGTCCCATAAGTGCCTTAGCGTCCCTTTGCAAGGCCAGTCGTGTGCTCACGGCTTCAGCGCCAGGCAGAATGACTTTGGATGCTTCGTGGCCAGTCGAATTCCAAAATCTAGCCCCAGCTCCCACCCACATGCTCTCACCAACACCTTCACAGCTAATCTTTAAGGTCCTCTGGCGTGGCACGTGTTTCTGTGTGACTCTTTGATTAAATTCTATTGGCACCAAGAGACTTGGAGGCCAGGTCTGATTTTGCTGCCTTCTATGCCCTGAAACAATTCTAACACCTAGAAGAGGCCCCATTATCTGCAGAACGGTTAACTCAGTGGAGAAATGGATGATTTTCCTACCGCACTAGAGAAAATTAAAACAAGACATTTTTTAAAGGAGAACGCTGAGATGTGCTCAGCAACCTGGGGTCTGAAGGAACCATCAGGGGTCAGGCTTTAATGCTCTGGGACTTCTGGGACTTTCGGGCAGATTGCCTGTTATCTGAGGATAAAATTAGGGTCCACTACGCAGGGGTATTGTGAGGATGAACCACATGCAAAGCGATCTAAGCAGTGCCTGGCCCCGGCAAGCACTCAGCCTCCAGTAAGAGGCTCTTTGGTAAGAGACGGCTGATAGGAGAGTAAAGTTGAGAACGTTCCAATAGAATTTTCCAATAGAATTTCTATTTTTGCTTCAAGTACACAGTGAGTTATCTGCAGGTGACGGGAGAGAAGATTGAGATCACGATTACAAAACAAGAGCTGCAGGGCCAAGTGGAAGGTCCAGCTGAAGCGGACCATGGGTCTGGAAGAGCACCAACTGGCAGAGTTGAATTCCTCCAGCAACTGTCATCAGCCCAAGAGAAGGGGTGGGGTGAGGACCTGGGTTCTTCCATGACTGGAGTTTGCAAGGAAGCACTCTCAGAATAAAAACTAAGCAGGATCCTGGCAGAAAACTTAGACCCGGTCCATGCAACAAATTTAGGCTACAGCGAAGGTAACACTTCAAACAAGAACCTAATTATTCTTCAGTACACGAGAATGAGGCTATTGCACGGCTCTTACAGGGAAAAATAAAATGAGTTTTGCTAGTTTAGACTCACCAATGTAAATTATGTATTCATTAAAGTTGAGGGTGAGAGAAAGTGAAGCCAACAGTAGATGGCAATGCCCATAACCTTAGCATCGGGGAGGACACTGAGCGTAACGACCAATTCAGAAACCATAAGGCAAAGTGACTAGAGGAAGTTTAAAACTTCAGTGTGCCAGGAAAAAAAAAAACCCATGGAAGTACATTCTGAGAGAGGGAACTGGGAGAAGACACTTACAGCAAAATTAACAACAACAACAACAAAAAAAAGGATTTCTAGCTTCAACGTAAAAAAAGTGCTTTCCAGTCAGCGAGAGATGGGTGCCCTAGACAAAGGATATACATAAGCATTTACTAATGAGCAAACGAAAATGGTTAGGAAAACCAGCAAAATATTAATCCAAAGAGTCCAATTTAAATCTGTGAGGAAAGGGTTAGTTAGTCAACAATGCTGAAAAGCCCAGGGTGGTATTGCACACCTTTAATGCCAGAGTTCTGGTGGCAGAGGCAGGTGGGTCTCTATGGGTCCCAACCTGGTGTACCTAGTGAGTTCCAGGCTAGCCAAGGCTACATATTGAAACCCTGTCTTAAAATGATGAGGATGGTGGTGATGGTGATGATGATGGTGAAGTTGATGATGATGGTGGTGGTGGTGATGATGATGCTGGTGATAATAGTGATGATAAAACTGAACAGACTGTTGAAAATTTTAATTGGATACTTCATTAAGGCTGCAAGAGAAATGTAAGAATTAAGGGTTTAAATTTAAATGAGGAAATTACAGAAGTTCACAGGGAATATGTATTTTTAAAAGATGATGCTACGCAAAAGGAGACAACCACAAAATTTTACTAACAGAAGAGTCCACTTTCCTGAAATGACTTAACAGTCAGAACCATAGGGCCAGGGGAGTGAAGGGCAGAAGTTACTGTTGAAAGTTACAGTGTTCCAGTCCTACTGAAAGAAGACATGTCAAGACAAATGATGTTTATGGTTGTGTGACATTATAAATGTGTTTAAATATCACCCAAAAGCTGGGAATGGTGACTCACACTGTAATCCAGCACCTGGGAGGCTGAAGCAACAGGACCATGAATCTGAGGCCAGCCTGAGCGGCAAAGTGAAACAAGTGCACACACTTAAACCTACACATTTACACACGGTATAGATAAATACATTCTATTTAGAATCACCCACTGTACACATAAACGGTGAGAATGGTAAATTTTGTGCTCTGTGTATTTTACCACAAAGATACTGGGGAATGGGTTGAGATGAAATAGAAAATTATGTCCTTATGGGGGAAATCTTTCATGTTGTAACTCACACAACTTCGACTACAAAAAATTTAAAATTTCAAAAGGTAATATATATTCAAAGTCAAAAGACAAACAAGGTTAAAATCTTCACAGCAGAGTAAGCAGGGGTTCCTAGTAATGCATAGAGAACTACAGCTTCCATGACAAGATTCTTCCCTTTTTTTTTTAAAAAAAAATTGTTTTGGTTCTTTGTTTTGTTTGGATTTGGTTTTTTCTCTTAAATTTGGTTTTGTTTTAGGGGGAGGCTGCAAGGGCAGAGAATGGGTGGGAGGGGAAAAAGAGATAAGTGGGATCAGAATCCATAATGTGAAACCCACAAAGAATCAATCAAAATTTTAAAAAGAGGCCGGGCGGTGGTGGCGCACGCCTTTAATCCTAGCACTGGGGAGGCAGAGGCAGGCGGAGCTCTGTGAGTTCGAGGCCAGCCTGGGCTACAAGAGCTAGTTCCAGGACAGGCTCCAAAGCTACAGAGAAATCCTGTCTCGAAAAACCAAAATAAATAAATAGATAAATAAATGAATAGAAAAGAAAAGAATTTCAGAAAAGCAAGGAGCAAGTGTTCAGTGAAGGACACAAAGGCTGCGCAGAAGAAATTTATGTAAAATGAAAAGATGTTCAGCTCAGTCTTGTGAACAATCAAGAGATAGAAATTTAAATCTTGCTAAAAATTAATTAAATACTCCGAGAATAGCAAACCTGGCATGGGTGTGGGGAGATGGAACCGGCCACATCTCATGTGTGGGAATGTGATTTGTACAATTTACCTGTGTTTATCAAAATCTTTCAAAATGTCACCATTTGACCAGTCGTTTTCTTCCTAGAATTTGTCCCAAGGAAGTCATCACGTCCCTCTCCACAGAGCTGTTAGTGGCTGCTTGAAGACCTCATAGCTAACGGATCTAAGCAACCTTTACGTTGAATACAGTGATTGGTCAGATGATTGTTGGCAGACAACATCTCCCACACATCTCAGGATACCCTATCAGCTACTGCCCCTGCCTCAGTGGCTCATGACTACTTGCCCAGCCTCTCTTCCTGGCTTCCCACAATCTCACTATGCTATTTCTGGGTAGAGAGACCAGCCACACAGGGGGCTCATTTTCCTTAGCCCCCCCTCCCCCTCCCTTGGGTCTGCTACAGCCAAGCCACTTGAGGGCTCATCCCCCACCGTGGCAGTGACACTGTGACCACAGGGACCGACCAGATAGAATGCAGGCCCCAGGACACCATCTCCTGGAGTTCCCATTAGCAGTCCCCCTAAGTGGGGCCCATATGTCCAAACTCCATGAACCCTCATCTGAAATGTCCCCCTGCATGTCCTATTCTTGTTACACTCTGATACTTACTTGGATCTCTTCTGGATCAGGACCGTAGCTCCCAACCCCAAGGATGTTCTTCATACCTGCATGTAGCCTTACTATGGACACATTACAGGGTCCTGACCAATCAGAGCATATTGCTCCTGACACCTTCATATCCCTTCCCTCTGGTCCTCTATCATCATCCCCTACAACCGCTAAAGAGGGCCCTCCAGAAAGAGGAGAGCAGGGCCACTAGGGTGACTCGCATCAGAGGTCTCTCCCACCCGTGGCAGGGTACAAAAGTTGATTGTTTCCCTGGTGTGCAAAGGACATGGTTACTGAGCAGCGAACGCCCACAGTACATCGTCCGCCCCAGCTCCTCTCCCAGCAGATCCCCTGGCATAGGGGTTCTGCTCATCCCTCCCCACTATGGAGACACTCATTTTGTGGCGAATACTCACATTCTTGAGCTAGGAGTCACCTGCTAACTGTATCTTCAAATATGGTCGGTTTTGCTCTGTGAAGCATTTTCTCTTATAAGAGGCTGTGCACTCCGGTGGGTGGCCCAGGGACGCCTTCTGACCAGACCTTCAGGTCTCAGTTTCAGCAACAATTCCGTCAAACACTGAAAGAGAGGGAGCGAGATGGAATGTTTAGGGACCACTCTTCAGAAAAGCAGGCTTGTCTGCTGCAGACAATGCTGCCACCACGTAAGCTTGCAGAGAGACAGCCGCCCTCGCTGCAGAAGGTGGTGACTCTCTGTGCTGTCTGCGGTGGCGGTCCCGAAGGGCAGGGTCTGGCACTGCCTGGCAATGACTGCCTGAGGTATTTGGTGAGTCCCAAAACCCAAGGACTGGGGAAAGGGCGGGGATGTCTTCAGTTAGTGTTTAAGGGACAGGAAATTCCTAGTGGCAAGATGACCTCATGCTGACAGGGCTGGGGCGAGCCGACCTGCCCCAGGCTCAGCTGGGATGCCATACCTAGTCTCAGGATGAACCAAGTCCACAGACCACTGGTTCTTCCGAGGAGGGCAGGGCCCAGGAGACATCTCCAGATTCTTAGAGAGATAAGAATCTCTCAGGTCTGGGAGCCCCATTCCCACACAAACAGGCAGCCCCTGGTTCAGCTTTCCCTATGCACCCGTCCCTGTGGGTACCAAGGTACCAGACCCCACTCCCAGATGTCTATCTATAAGAATATTCCATTCTAAGACCAAATTCACTTGAATGATTCCTTCATCTTGGATAGAGCGATGAAGGGGAACTCAAGCAAGTCGGGCTGGCTGTCCTTAGGAAGGGGATTTGGACTAGAGGCACTCACTGCCTTGCAGCAGGAAGCCAGGCAGAGGGAGGGGCAGGCAGCAGTAGATAGCTCTGGTCAAACTGGCTCATTTCCTTACCTTGGACCTGGATCAGGATGTGGGGGAAGGTGGGCTGCAACTCTGTGAGACCCTGTCTAGGACATCTTTGGATTGGGGATTCACCCTCTGAGACTGAGGGCTGCAACCACAGGCCAGGGCCAGGATGGAGCACAGTGATGCAAGCGTGAAGGATCTTGCTCTGCCTCGGACAGAGTGTCCCAAGGATGGCCAAAGGGAAGAGGGCTCCTGAGGGGGTGGTTTGCTCTCTGCTGAGTGCAGGCTCCTCCTGGCGCTCATTCCCTCAGCACAGGTGCCATTCACATTCCTTGGTCATTAATAAAAAAAAAAAAAAACCACTGATACCTGCCATGCAGCACCCAGGTGGTGAAGAGAACATTATGACTCAGACAGAATCTATGCCCTCGGGACACTCCCAGCCCACTGGGGAAAATAGACAAAGAGAGATGTCATCCCAGGAGGGGGCTGTGTAGGGACAGGATATTCACACAGAGGAAAGGCACAAAGGACAGGGCTGGGTGAGCCCAGGAGACATCACCCAGGGCTTAAAAGTGGAACTCAAGTTCCAGGCAGATCTGGGCTTGAGTGTCAGCCCCACCCTAACGTAACACTGAGAAAGTCATTTAACCTGAGCTTGGGATCCTGGAGCGCCAAAAAGACATGAGAATGTTCTTCCGGTGGTGTGGTGTGGAGGTGACATTCCTGGGCTTTCCATTAAATGCTCAGCTAGGTGCCTGATGCCAGAGAGGGGCGTATTGCTAAGGTGATAGAGGAGGCTCTGTGGGACCAAGTGGCGGGGGCTGGGACTCTTGGCGGTAGAGGTAGAGGCTAGTGTAGCAAGGCTGTGTGTGCAGAGAGGGAAGCTAACACTGTTGCTTTCACAACTCACGGAGTCTGTCTCTCACAGGAAGGGAAAGAAACTGATGAGGAAAATGGGGTCTGAGGGGTGAGAGTGAAACCATTGGGAACAATCATGCTGGAGGCAGGTGCATAACCTATCAGGAGGAAGTACCAGAAGTGACAGGTCTGTCAAAAGACCAGCGGGGCTAATATTCTGGGGTCGAGCTAATATTCTGGGGTATGCGTGTATACTCATGGAGCAGGGGCTCACACGCACGCACGTGTCGATGCATGCAGAGACCATAGGTCAAAGCCTTCCTCAACCACTCTATGTTTTGAGATAGGGTCTTTCACTGAACCTGGACCTCCCCAGCTCAGCTAGATTGGTTGGTCAGCAAGCCCTGAATTTACACCTCCCAGCTCTGGGATCAGTGTGCAATGTCACACCTGCCTTTTTTCTTTTTAAGTACTAAGGATCAAACTTCAGTTCTCATGCTTATGTAGCAAGCACTTTGTGGGCTGAGACACACACACACACCCAACACACACACACACACACACACACACACACACACACTCATTAGCTAATATTTTAGTGCATCAGTCAGCAGAGCTGGTGGGGGCCTGGAGGAGATGGGCTGAGAGAGAATCCTCCCGAGCCTTTTGTCAAAGAAGTTGGCTATCAGTTCTCACACTTGGTACCCAGCCTGGTTACAGAGATATCATCCACTAGATAGTCTTAATTCTTTCTCCTTTTAAGAATTCTATTTATTTATTTTTTGCTGTGGCAGACAGGAATGCCACAGTACACACACAGAGGTCAGAGGATAACTTTCCAAAGTCAGGATCAACCCCGGGTCATCAGGCCGGGCAGCAGGGACACACTATCCACTGAGCCATTCCTGGATGCTAGTCTTTAAGTGTGCGAGTGGAGAGACAGGGGAAAGGAGACCAAGTTCTAAATTTGTGAGGAAAAGCGCTGGGAGAATTGTTGCAGATTCTAGACATCACTTGTTCTACTCACTGCTTTTAGAGATGAAAGGCTCCACTGCAGCCTCAACCTCAGGACAAGAACCATGACTTGCCTGGCCCACTTAGAGCAATCAGCCAGTGTACTGTTGTGTCCAGCTGAACATGTCCTAACTGGCACACACAGCAGTCAGCATGGACGGACCTCGGGGACTGTGGAGTGTGACCTCTTGTTAGCTGGGGAGGCTGCCAGCCCCATTGACATTTACATGGGTCCTGGAGTCCGAACTCTGCTCCTAACATTTAAATAGAACTGAGCCATCGCCCTAGCCCTTCACTAGTGGTTTTCTAGAGCTTCAATCACTCGTCCATAGGAAGGCGCAGCATCTCCCTTCCACATGGACAAGGGACTGTGCAGGCTAGGGATACCACACTGCCATCAAGGGCAGCAGGCATTAAATGCCTTGTTCTGTTGAGGGTGCAGGAGGAGGTAGGGAATCATGAGCAGATTTGTTCCTTGCACCTCCCAGCAAGCCTTGCTGGTAGTGGCTACTCTCCCTGGGAACCCTCTGGGCTCTCAAGATTGAACTGCACATTGATGAGACTGCTATTGAAATGTAGACAGAAGTTTCTGTCCTGCCCAATCCCGCAGCCACTCAGTTTCTGTCCTGCCCAATCCCTCAGCCACTCAGTTCCCAACAAAACACGCAGAAGCTTATTTTAATTATAAACTGCTTGACCTTTTAGCTCAGGCTTATTATTAACTACCTCTTATAACTTAAATTAACCCATAGTTCTTATCTATGTTAGCCATGTTAGCTTGGTACCTTTTATCAGTGAGGCATTCTCATCTTGCTTCCTCTGTGTCTGGGTGGCAACTTTAGCCTGAGCCTTTCCTCTCCCCAGAATTTTTCTAGTCTGGTTGCCCCACCTATACTTCCTGCCTGGTTACTGGCCAATTAGCATTTTATTAAACCAATACAAGTGACAAATCTTTACAGGGTACAAGAGCGTTACTCCACAGCAGGAAAGTCCTTTCTTTGCCCTGTTACTGTCGTGATTGGTTATCCTTTGTACCTGAGGGTACAGATTTAGATCCATACTGGCTGCATGTTCAGCCTTCGCTCCTGTTGAACTTAGAGAACATTAGAGGTATAAAGGGAATGCACTGTATTTTCTGATTATTTGAGTATTTGGTTCAAATTTCTCACATATACACACACATATACATACACCTCAAGTCCCCTAACCATTCCAAACTTTGGAAATTTGCTGCCCATCTGATCATTTTAATTGGACTTTTGGCAATGCCTGCCAGGTAGGGGTGTGTGTGTTGTGTGTGTGTGTAATGGGGAAGTACATTTGATTGATTTAACTTTGTGAAGGACCAAAGTTCCCAGGGACCATCTATCAGTCCAGATGAGTAATGTACTTTTAGGAGGAACAGCTGAAGTCCTAACCACAGAGTACTTCTCCCAAGGGCTCTTGGGACTCCCTTACTCCCTTCTCGTAGACTAGAAAGCTGCCTTGGTGTCTCAAGCCAGCCCACCATAGCATCAGTAGGACACAGCACAGTGACAGACATCTGGTGGGGTCCTCAGCCACCTTTAAGGGATGGATAAAAGTTGACCTCGAGTTTATTTAGTGTTGATTGAGTCTGTGGTTAGAATTCCTTGCTTTTAGGATAAAGCATATTAATGATAGCTAATAGAGTTGTAGACAGTGTGCTTTGACTAAGATAGATGAATATTAATTATTTAAGTCCATATAAAGAACTACAATCAAGCCAAGTAGAGTAGGAATTGGAAAGCATCTTGCGGATATTTAAGAGGAGGTCAGGGCTGACCTGGGGGAGGCTAGTTTCAGTAGGACTTGAGAGAAGTCCAGTAGCTAAGGGCTGGGAAATAAACTGAGAACCCAAAATGGAGAGAGCCCTTTGAGAGCGCTTAATTGCGATGGGACAGTGTGATGTCTTCAGGCACCTGGCAATTGTTTACTGCCCAGCCCCAACCTCATACCTAAAATAACAGTAAAATTGGTCTATCACAATGCACCCAGAGAAAGCACCCTGGGCCAGCACTTTCAGCTCAATTGCCTTTCAGCAGAGCAGAAAAAAAAAAAGCAACAAAAAAATCCCTCACTACCTGGGGATTCCTGACAGACCTATCCAATGCCTGAAGAAATGCCTATGAGAACATTATAAAGTTTAGTACGATTTCCTCTTAAAATCCAGAGGGATTCTGATGAGGAAGGAATGTTCTAGTACTCTCAATTAGGCACAGGTGTGATATGGCTCAAATGCCCCATAGCAATATGGGTGGAGCCAAAAGAAAATTTCCCTCCTCTCCTCACTGAGGTGAGGCAGCCAGACTGCCAGGATGCCAGAAGTCTGGGATCTGATCCTGGAGCAGCAGCCTAGCTAGGACAGCAGCCTACCTGGGGCAGCAGTGTACCTGGCAGGCAGAGACCCCAGATCAGACATAAAGGAGGTTGGCTGCTACAGAAAGAGAGACATGAGCCATGGCTGATCCCCTCTGACAGGGACCTTCGCTTTGGCACCTGCAGAAGCTCTGTGTCATAGCAATGCGCTCTAATTCTAGCTGAAGGGAGCCCGAAGGACCCACAGTGTCCATCTGAAGGGTCTTGCCTTCCAGTTTCCCTATAC